AAAAGGACATTTTTTTTTGGGGGGGGGGGTTAGTTTTAGAAGATCTTGCAGGTCTTCATAGAACCGTTCAGCTTCAGTTTCTTCAGCATTACTGGTTGGGATATAGACTTGAATTACTGTGAGATTGAATCGTTTGTCTTGGAAACAAACAGAGATTGTTCTGTCATTTTTGAGATTGCATCCAAGTACTGCATTTCCGGCTCTTTTGTTGACTATGATGGGTACTCCATTCCTTCTAAGGGATTCTTGCCTACAGTAGTAGTTATAATGGTCATCGGAGTTAAATTCACCCATTCCAGGCCATTTTAGTTCACTGATTCCTAAAATGTCAGTGTTCACTATTGTCATCTCCAGTTTGACCACTTCCAATTTGCCTTGATTCATGGACCTAACATTCCAAGTTCCTATGCAATATTGCTCTTTACAGCATCAGACCTTGCTTCTGTCACCAGTCACATCCACAACTGGGTGTTGTTTTTACTTTGGCTCCATCTTTCATTCTTTCTGGAGTTCTTTCTCCATTGATCTCCAGTATCATACTGGACACCTACTGACCTGGGGAATTCATCTTTCAGTATTTTTTTATTGTGTATGTTGTGTATGCATTTTTTATTGTGGTAAAAGTCACATAACATAAAACATGCTATTTTAACTATATTTAATTGCACAGTTCAGTGGCACTGAAAACACTGACATTGCTGTGCAACTTTCACCTGCACAACTCCTGAATTTTTCACTTTCCTAAACTGAAACTCTGTCCTCATTAAACAGTAACTCCTCTTCTCCCCTCCCCCTTCCCTGCACCCAAATCTCACACTCCTGGCATCTACCAACCTACTTTCATTTTGACTATTCTAGATACTTCATATAAGTGGAATCAAGCAGTATTTGTCTGCACCTACCATACATTTGAATGGATTTTTAAGGTTAACTTAATATATGTCTCACAAACAGACTGTATCTGGTGATGTTTTGCCTCCTCTTTCAACAAATGCAATTTTTGTCTAAATTGATCAGATTTGTTTTCTGTTGTTTTCAGATATGATCCAAGTTCTAGTGAGGAGAATATTAAAATAATTTATCCATGGGAAAGTTAGCTACTGAACAAGTTGTGTATGACAACTTAATCAAGGTTGAATGGTAAGTTTTGAATGTCTGAAAGTCTACAAGAATAAAGTGTGGAAAGGTTTTAAAGTTCTGAGGTGAGCTAGTGAAAACTTACTGAAAGGCATTAGTGAGGAGGTTAGTCAATGTGCTATTTTGAGAAAATTGCATTAATCCTGAATTTGCAGTGTTTTTCTCTGCAATTAAGACATCTGTCCCTGATAACTGACTCCAAATGAATTTAAACTTACACTGTCACAGAGATTGGAAGTTAGGGGTAATGTTGGTTTTGATCAGTCACTCAGTTGTGTCTGACCGTTTGTGACCCCATGGACTGTGGCACGCCAGGTTTCCCTGTCCTTCACCATCTCCCGGAGTTTGTGTAGACTCATGTCCACTGAGTCGATGATGCCATCCAACCATCTCATCCTATGTGGCCCCCTTCTCCTCCTGCCCTCAGTATTTCCCAGCATCAGGGTCTTTTCCAATGAGTGGGCTCTTCGCATCAGATGACTGAAATATTGGAGCTTCAGCTTCAGTATTGATCTTTTCAGTGAGTATTCAGGATTGATTTCCTTTAGGATTGACTGGATTGATCTCCTTGCTCTCCAAGACACCCAAGGGATGTTATCATGCTTGATTTGAAAGGGATGGCTCCTTGAGAAAGACTTTCCTGTATAATAAAATTGGCAAGAAGTTTTAAAAACACTTTGCATCCTAAATAAGTAGAGAAAGAGTTTTATGATTACAAAGTATCTACAGTAAATGCTCTAATATAAGGGTGCCTAAAGTTAGGAGGATGCTTATCTAAAGTTTAGTCAAGATGAGGGTCACTGCTAAATTCCTAATCAATTTCCTGGTGAATTCCAGGAGAAGGGAGTTTAAATAGGAAAAAGTGAAATTACTTGTATTTCTCATTAGGTTGGTGAAATGGATTCTCAGAGTCAAAAATACTATCATGGCTGGTCTGGCTATTGTGATTCATTAACTCACATTAAAGATTAATTATATTTTCCAATTTACATGCTCCTTAGAGAGCAGTCCTCCCAAATTACATAGTAACAAACTAATAATCACTAACCACTAATATCAAAGTTTAACCAGCACTTTTTAATTTATTTTTTTCCTTTATTTTTATTAGATGGAGGCTAATTACTTTACAATATTGTAGTGGTTTTTGCTATACATTGACATGAATCGGCCATGGATTTACATGTGTTCCCCATCCTGATCCCCCCTCCCACCTCCCTCCCCACCCCATCCCTCTGGGTCTTCCCAGTGCACCAG